AAAGAAAGAAAGAAAGAAAGAAAAAAAGGTAGCCATCATTTGTCTTATTTTTTTCCTTGTATGTACTGGGTCATTTCTTCATCTACTTTCTTTCAAAAAAAAAATTTTTTTTTTAACACTTTGACTAGAATATGCCTATAAGTGATTTTCTTTGTATTTATCTTTCTTGAGATTTGTCAAGCATTCTGGATCTGTGAGTTTGTTTTCCCTCAAATTTGGGGAAAAATTAACCATAATTTTTTTCAAATTTTTTTTCTCCATTTTCTCTCTTCTCTCATTGTGAGATAATACTCACATATATGTTACCAGTTTGCTAGTGTATCACAGGTCACAGAAGTTTTTTTCTCATTTATTTATCCTTTTTTCTCTCTGTTCTTCTGAGTAATTTTTACTTGTCTGCTTTTAAGTTCACTGACCTTTTCTTCTACCATCTCTGATCTGCTGATTTTTCATCCAGTGAATTATTTTTAAATTTATATTTTGTGTTTTAGAATGTCCAGTTAATTTTTAAATGTATTTTATATTTCTCTGCTGAGATTTTCCATCTGCATATTTACTATGACAAATTTTTCTTTTTTATCCCTTAAACATAATTATAATAACTGCTGTAAAGGTCTTGTCTCTTAATTTCAACACATAGGTCATCTCAGAGTTGGTGTCTTTTGACATTTTTCTCCCTGATTAGAGGTCATATTTCCTTTTAAATAGTTAGTGATTGTTTAATATGTGCTGGATATTATGAATTCTATGCTGTTGACTATCTTGCCAATTCTATAGCATTTCTTTAGAGGCTATTGCATTGTATTTTGGTAGGAGGTTTGAATACTGGCAGATGAGGTTTATCTTTTCTACCAGCCTTGTTTTTAAACTTTCTTGGATATGAGGGAAAGTAGCCTTATTCCTAAGGTATGGAATATCTGAGATATCTCTAAAGTGCTCAGAAAATCTCGCCAATATTGCTTGTCATAACAACTTTGTCCCCCATTGTTCCGTGACTGCTAGGGTCTCTATTAAGATTATAGCTTCCCACGAGTTTGGTTTTTGGTGATTTATTTTTATTTTTATTTTTTGGTCACATTTTGTGACTTCTCTACTGGTACATATACAGTCTATTAGTAGACCAATAACTTAAGGGGATTCATCTAGAGATTTCTGATGCTCCTTCTCTGCACAGCTTCCTTCTTCCAACTAACCTAGATCTAGAAACTCCAGCCCCACATCAGCAGCGCTGAACTTGAATCCTTGATTATCTTAGTGAGACCATTGATTCTTGCTTGGACTCTGTCTTCCACACTTCAATCTGAAAGTGCACCCCAGACAGGAGAGCTGAAAGCCAGAAAGCCAGGGTAAATATGAGCCTCACTTAGTGTGGTTTCCCTGTCTCATAAATTGCACATTTGTGCTGCTGTTGGCTAATTTCTGAAAAGTTACTTCATAATTTGTCCAGAATTATAAATACTTAGGTTGGAAAGGCTAGTCTGCTACTATTGTGTTTGTAAACAAGGCTTTTTTACTGATTTTAAAAGACAAACTAAATATAAAATGCCTATTCAATTCCATGCCTCTGAATCTTAGATTACTTTTTAAATTGCAAGATGAGTAGACAGACCTTTATTTTGTTCATTGTTTCTTTTTTCTTCCTTTTTAAAAAATTTTGAGTCTTGCATTGTCAGCAATTTTTAGCTAGGTGATGTCACTCATGAATATGCCACTTAGACACCTATGCACTAGGCAAGATTTTGTGGTGCTCACATTCTAAGATGTAAATAAAATACTCATAGTACAGTATATAATATGTATCATAATAGAATTATGCAAATGTTTTTAGTTGTAGCACAAAGGGGGTAAGACTGTTTTTTGGGAGAAGGGTCAGGGAAATTTGAAGAAAGCATACGTTTTCAGGGATAACTCAAAAGCTGCCCATGTCAGTCAGAGGATCAGGGCATATGAAAACTTACTATACAGATGTGAGTGTATAAGGAAGAGTCATGGGATAATGGGATAATATAAAAACCTACTAGTTATCCAAAGGGAATTACGTTTATAGCATAACAGTAATATCCTTTATGATAAACAAAGAGAATGTTTAAAAGATGTTTAAGTTTGAGATCCTTGGAGATGGTATCTAAATTATAAAGAAAGAAATCCTAACTTTGACATTACCTTACACATCTTCTAGAAATAGTCTTGACTCAACCTTCCTGGACTCATATCCCAGGCAGGTTAAACTCTGTTGACTCTTGTGTCAAATGGAAGATAATAATACCTCCTTCACAGAGTTTCTGTGAGTTTTAAGTGAGTTAGTACACATGTGCTTGGAGACATACCTGATGTCTTGTAAGAGTTCACCATTAAGTACTAGAATAATGAGATGCAATAAGACTGTGGATTAGTAATTATGCTGAACCTTTAGTGAGCCCTGGATCTGAATCAAGGAGGAATACCCATTTGCTTGTTTCATAATCACCAAGATAACCATGTCACAGGCATTGTGCTCCGAAACATGCTCACTCTAAAAAGAAGTTCATCAAATTATAGCATAGTTCTTTGTGTTCTATATTTCTACAGATGTTGGTTATTATTAGTCAAATGAGACAAGCCAGTTTCCAAGATTTCTGGACAGTGGATAGTTTTGGTAGTAAGAAGATATAATTAACATGATAATAACCCAAATCCTGTCCAGATGAGCTTCCTCACCATACAAGTTCTCTGCAGGCAATCTTCGCATAAAAACAAAACTTTGTTGTCAGTTTAAGCTTTATTCCCAAATACCCTCCATTTGGGCCGTGAGGCATACAGTTCAAAGGTCATTGATTCCTACTGGATAGCTGCAGTAGAAAGTATTAAAAGTCGTCCCCTGGTATAAGCAAATCTCTTTTGATAAAGTTCTTTTTGTCTGCCTGCAAGAAGGGCAGTAGTATCCCTGATCGACCAAAGGCCTGGTTCTCAAGCCCTATGCATGAACAAGTGAAATTTAAAAAGTAAGGTAACATTGACCTCTATAGGAGGTGAAGCTCAGTAACCTATGGGCCCTTCCCTTAAGTCCCTCCTCCACCTCCCCAGTCTTTGCTGTTTCTCTCCCCTCCTCTCTCCTGTAGGATGATTGCTGCTGTGTCTTAGTCAGATTCCTGGATTTTGTATTGGCTCATAGTCTTAGGAATGGAACTGTCAACATGGTTAAAAAATCACAGCACTCTCAGAGAACAAGTCTGAGCTTTCCTTAGTGAGGTCTCCCATACAGCTTTGTTTGAAGCCCCTTCCTTAGATGTTATCCTTCTGCCTAAGAAAGGTTTTAGGTAGCAAATTTCAGAATATCTCACTCTTTAGTAAGCTGCTTTTTGCTTGTGGGTCTGGTCTTTCCTCTGGTCTGAGTGGTGGATTTCAAGACTTAGATTTGGTCTTTGGATAGAACAGCAAGAACACGGTGTTTGGCTACCTTGATCCCAGGGCATCTGGCTGATCCAATATAGATAGTGGAGTTCTCCATGGCATCTTCCTAGCTAATTAGAGTTTTCCATTGGGTTTTAGGGAGAAAAATCTTAATTTATTTCTTTTTTCTCTCTGTATACATTGGTTAGGGCCTCTCAAGGAGGTCACCTAGTAAATCTATCGTAATTACATACCAGCAATCCCAATAGATAATGGGGGTCACAGCAGTCAAGGTGGTTCAAAGAGAACCACAAACAGCCAAATGATTTATTTATAAATAGTTTTATTAACATTCCTTAAATGGTAGGAATTGTTTGTAATCCTGAATCTATTTCATATAGAGAATACTTTTATAGATCCCAAGCTAGTCCACATAATCTTATGTAATCCTTGAAAATAGCTCTGTTATTGTAATGATAGTACTTCAATTATACCAAATCCCATTTTATAACTCAGATTTATTTTGGTGAGAAAATTCACAATGAGCTCCAACTCAAGATGCTGACACATATTTCCCATGGGGCTACAGGATGTGGGGTGCCAGGAGGGGGAATCCTAAGGAGGAAATTCATGGTTATGTGAATGGACAACCCTACTTCTGACAACTCTCTACCTGGGGATCACCAGCCCCTTACTGTCCATCTCTCACTGTCTCCTCCCACAACACACACATACACACAAATACACACACACGTGCACACACACACACAGTGAGCACACATGCATATATCCCATCATTAGAGTCTCCTTGGAAACACAGCAATCATAGGATGAGGGAATTTTCTGCTCTCAGTTCACATATGATAGAGGAATGGACAGTTCCTGTCCTTACCATAGTAGATAAAATCTGTTTCTGACTTATCAGGTTAAATTTATGAATTAATTTCTCCCTGTAAGATGTTGAAATATACATGGTAGATCAGTTATTTTATATTATATACTCTAGGTACTTTGTATGTTAAATAGGTATAGATACATAGGAAAATCTGTCAAAATAAGTTTCATGTTGGGAGGAAGAGATCCTTGTGGGAGATGTGTTTTGTTTATTTAATTCATGAATCATTCTGCATTTTTTTTTAAGATGGAGTCTTGCTCTGTTCCCCAGGCTGAAGTGCAGTCACGTGATCTCAGCTCAGTATGATCTCCACCTCCTGGGTTTATGCAATTCTCCAGCCTCGGCCTCTGGAGTAGCTGGGATTACAGGTGTGGGCCAGTATACCCAGCTAATTTTTGTATTTTTAGTGGAGTCGGGATTTCACTATGTTGGCCAGGCTGCTCTTGATCTCTGGATCTCAGATGATCTGCCTGCCTAGGCCTCCCAAAGTGCTGGGATTACATGTGTGAGCCACCACACCTAGATTAAGTTCATGAATCATTTTGCTTCTCATGGAAGAGCCAGGAAGGATCAAGAAAGGTGTCTCAAGCCAATTCCATATGTGTTCTCTCTCATTAAGTTTCTTATTTAGACTTAGAATGGGGCAACACTGGTGCCCTCAACCATTTCCCTTAGTGTTAGTCTTAAGCTTTCCAACATTAAAAGTTCAAATGCTTAGTCCATTGCACACTGGCACTCATTAAATGTATATTGAAGATACGAATGAGGAAACAGCCATGATTCTAAGCATGAGGTACCTAAAAATACCATAACCACAGTGCACATACAATTATTTAATATTTTCAACAGTCCAAACATAGCTGAATGCATACAGATCTTGATCCAGGTTGTAAAATGTCATATTTAAAATTTCTGAGCAAGCTGTCAAGAGTGAGAAAGCAAAAAGACTTTAGAAGATAAAGGAATGGGAGAAAGATTAGCTTGATAGTATAAATCATTTTCCCCCCAGAAATATATCAAGTCTTAGTTCCACATGTGTCAGCATTACCCAAGCCAGAGCTCTTCTGCCTCTGTGATTTCTTTCTTTTTTTAATGCATTCATCTCTTGGAGACTACATGGACTTATATTGCCTTGCAAAAGCAATATTCAGCAGAAAAATCAATCTTTTGAATACTTTAAACCGATATAGGTCCAGAAAATGTTATGAATACAGTTAAAAACAACCACAGCATAACAGCAAAACTTCTAGGATGGATATGCTGTATTCATCACCATGTTCTTTAAATTATAGGAAAGGCCAAAAATCCCCCTGGAGACACTGGCCTACACTGGGCAGCCATGGCATTGCCAGCATTCTTTTCTCTTATAATTGGCTTTGCTTTTGGAGCCTTATACTGGAAGGTAAGTGTTGCTATTCCTTTTTTGTTTTTTAAATATACTATGTTTACATAAATTATTAACAATTTTTTCTCAAGAAATGATTCTTTAAGAAACAATAAATTCTACCTTTTCTTATAATCTAAACAAAATTTAAATTTTAGAAAGTTTCCCTATTTCTCATTATGTCTGGAGACAATCCCTCTAGCTGATAATTCACACTTAAGAATTAGGAACTGATGTTAATAGCCTGAACTAAATATGAAACGGAAGATCTGCCAAAAATCATATGATGCACGTAAAAGACAAATAGAAATGTCATTTGTATTATCTGCTATGTTAGATTTCTACTCCTTTGTTCTCTTCTTATTTAAGCCTGTCTAAAATTTTAAAATGCACAAAAATCATTGTGATTCAGCTTCTTGAAATTTCTTTTGAATGTGATTACTGTTTAAATGTCAGTTTCCTTATTACTCCTTAGCCCCCAACATCCTAAAAATGTTGAGTTGATAATACCATGCAGCTTTCACAATCCTTTATTACAAAAATATTTTGCATGCTACATGCTAAAAAATTGTTATTGGAGTTATTGACATAAAAGATAAAAGTGGAGACCACTTACCTCTTAAATATCAGACCATTCATTGATCATTTTACAACATGTGACTTTCTTCTTTTCTCAGAAGAGACAACCAAGTCTTACAAGGACAGTTGAAAATATACAAATTAATGAAGAGGATAATGAGATAAGGTATTCTGTTTTGCTAAATGTGCGCCTAAGCAAGCATGGCATTGCCACTTCACACACTGTGTACATGCTCATAATGTCTTTAAGAAGTCCTTCACTCATGACAGTAGCTCCTAACCAGTGAGTTCCAACTCTGACCCCTCACTCTCTCTGCAATCCTGCATCTCCATTTACCTGTAGAATACCGTCACATAATTTTCTTCATGACCCTTCTTAGCATATGAAAGGAGTTAGCTCTCCTTTCTTATTTTAGTAAGGCGGCAGAATCTTCTCAGACTCCTAGTTATGGAGCTCTGGAGACACATTTGCTCATGTTCTTTCTTTTCCACACTTTTATCAAAACATACTGATTCAGCTCTCGGAGCCTCTTCCTAAGCTTAGTTCTTTTGATAGTAAGCATTATCATCACTGGCATCTTTATAATCTCATGAGTTGCTGCCACCGATCTTTTGTTTAGCACTTCTAAACTCTATCTTCAGTTATACTCTTCTGTAAACCCTGGTTCATAGTGTCACTTCTTATTTAAAATACATGCAGTGATTTTCTCTTGCATATCTAATTTATCTCTTATTTTACTCTGGCTTTCAGAGCCTGTAACTTTTCTCAGCATACTCATTGTTTTCTCTAAAGCCAAATACCAACTTTGTTGTAAGATGACTTTCCATTCACTGTAGCTGGCTCTCGTTACTCTTTCACCTTACCCCATACTGCCCAGCATTCATATTTTCCCTTAATTTTGACTATAATTTTCATTTGGTGTGTTGCTTTCTCTCATGTCATGCCTGTATACCCAGACACATATGAAATGCATATAAGTATGTTTGGTATGTATATATACATATATATCGAGAGAAATTTTAACTACTTGGAAAGACTACCTTGAGACAAATGAGGTCTTCTCTGTTCCCTGTAGTAATAAGAAGGTAAACTTCCCATTCAATTTTGCAATCTTTTGCAACTGTATTTACAGAAAGCTGCCTTTTACAATGCCTAGATCATTGTGTACCTCAGAATCCCTGATCAAGAGAAAATAAGCATTTTTTTCTTATTGTTTTTCAGTATGTTGCAAGAGAAAGAGAGAGAATTTCAAGAAGTGTAATGGCTTGTATCAACACTGTTACTTTCGTACATTGGTAAGTTTTTAAAATTCAAGCTGAAATATTTAGCAAGAACTATACAGTAACTGAGATGCCAGAATTTAGAAACAAACTTCATTAGTAAGTCTTCTATATCATGCAGTTGAGAGTATGTTGGCTGAAGTTGTTATGTAATTGAAATGTGCATATCTAATTCACTGCTTATTCTCAAGTTTTGAAAGGTAAGCAGTGTTTGTCCTTTCTACTGGATTCATCTTGTATGGGAGATACACAAAAAATTAACAGTTGTAAGTTTACTTGGACTGTTTTTGAGGCCAGAAAAATTAATTAGACAAGGAGAATATAGCAAATTAGGGCTAAAATAAAATAGTAGTGATAGAATAAAAATATATAGAATCAATTTTATTTAGGTGTGACCAGCATAACATGACAGTATCACATGTGTTAGATGCTGAAACAAGAGAAAACCAGAATGTTTCCCTGCCATTTTAAAGAAAAAGAGAAAACATCAAAATATCTTACAGTCAGGAGAGGAAGATTTTCAAAATCAATTGCCACCTTGCACATGACTAGTAATAATTATGCTTTATGATAGTTCGGAGTCCAGGATTCCTGAGCATAAACACATGGCAGATACTGGCTGTGATTGTGTGGTTCTGTGGAGGGATTGTGGGAGAAAGGAGAGTAAGACATGGCTAGAAGCTACTGGTGATCAGTATCTCCTGTCCTGCCTACATGGTCTGCTCCCTTGCTATAGATACTGTTGTGGGAACACCCAGAGCTGCATTAATTTGATCAGTATTGATTCATGCTCTCCCTAACTTTTGCTTCTACTAACTGGCTGTTATTTTTGTTACTGTCATGAAATCCTGAGTGCATTCACCACAGTGGCATGTGAATATTCTCATGCCACTGAGAGTATTCTTTTCAAATTCCTCAATTCTTCTGTGCACTCCCTCCTTGTCAAAGGATTATTTACTCTCCTCTTTATTACCTAGATAATCTGTGGTGAGTTCTTCTTTTACCATGCAGGTCACTGCCCTTCCAGCTTTAACACCCATCCCAGATTCAGAGATTTATTTCTAGACTGAATCTTCTTCAATGGAGCTGAGTCATAAAGTGTCTTGCCTCCTGAATGAGCTTAATTTTGTTATATAACAACATTCTTTTAACAACTCAAGATAACATAATTATGTCGCACATTTCTCTAACACTTTAATACTGTTATTCTATACACTGTCACTTTTACCTTCAATCATACTCTTGATAAACATGTCCAAAGCATGAATAGCACCCTCTTTTTTCAGCTACCCATTCCCACTTCTTTCTCGGTTCATCCTTCCTGTCCAATAATGTAAATGGATAGACCCTTTGCTTGACCATTTTATTTTCTGAAGCAATATTTCCCAAGCTGAAACCATGCTTTTTCCTAGATATTCATTTCTCTGCCTTTCAATCACAAAATGAGCTTCACTTTTTTTCTCCCCTGTTCTTCTTGACAGCCATTTTAGTTTTCTCAAGCCAGGCATCCACAAACCACACATTAAATGGTTAATTGAGTCTTAAGTGCTCAGATGCTCAAGTAATGTCCTCTGTTGTTTGGTTTTGGATTGCATTGCTAGGATCATGTTTTGGCACACAGGTCTTTAATCATGTGGTTTTAATTGTGGTATTCGTCCCATGACATTTGGGAGTAGATTAGGATGAGGAAACTCAGGCGACTGGTTTAGGAGGAAAAAAGATGGTATTTTAAAGTAACCATAGTCAAACAGCTTCTGCATGTGTCGAATAGTCAATTAGCATTCCAAAACAAGAGCTGGGTCTTTCTGTTTCTTGCTGTGCGCTCAACACCTAACTTGTTGCCTATGTATTGTTGGCTCTTTATAAATGTTTGTTGAATGAGAGACTGAGTGAGTGACTCAGCCCTAAATGAAACTTTAAGCAAATGGCAAAGAAGATTGTTCTTCTGAAGCAGGGTTTGTTTTTATCTTCTGTGGGAATGTGTGTGTTTAATTTGCTGGTTTGGATTAATGGGACAGCAAGGTATGCATATCAAGAGGGAATATGATCATATGGGAAATTAAGTAATAAATTATTTTTTTTTTTTTTTTTTTTTTTGTTGAGACGGAGTTTCACTCATGTTACCCAGGCTGGAGTGCAATGGCGCGATCTCGGCTCACCGCAACCTCCGCCTCCTGGGTTCAGGCAATTCTCCTGCCTCAGCCTCCTGAGTAGCTGGGATTACAGGCACGTGCCACCATGCCCAGCTAATTTTTTGTATTTTTAGTAGAGACGGGGTTTCACCATGTTACTCATATATAAAATAAATCACATTGGCCAGGTTAATGAAGCCAGAATTGTTCGGAAAAAAAACCCCAGCACACTTAATGAGTAGTCGATGAGAAATAGATAGCAGAATGAATGAAAAACATGACTCGTTCTCTTTCATAAAGTACCTTACTCATCATCTCTGCAAAGCTCCTCCAAGGCTCAGGTCACATACTACTATCTACAAAAAGCTGACTTCCCAAATGAAAATAATCACTATTTGTAGCCCTCTAAATAGATTTCATATGACCCTTGGTAGGACATCACAGTCACTTAAATGAACATTTTGTGCTCTTTTCAAAACCATAAGCCCTTAGGGGGCAGGATTTTATTTTTTCTTAATGTAATTTTGGGGCCCCACGAAACAGTGTTACTTATACTATGCATATATAAATGATGAGTAACTATTTGTCAAATAAGTTAATCATTTATTAATTTAAGATGAATGAATATCTCAGAGAATTACAATAATGAGAATAAAATTTATAGAGATGAAAACGGAAATGAACTTGGATATGTGTATGAGTACATAAGAATTCAAATGCTGAGGGAAAAGTAGGAAAGAGGGAGAAAAGCGCCAGCTCATCATCAATAATCTGAAAACCTCAAAGTAAAAATGTGTATATATCATTTGTAATCATCTATTGACACCCATTATATGAAGTAAAGCCTTACATTTGGCCTCATACTAACAGAGATGGAAAACCCTCCAAGGAAGTCTTAAGTCTATTTCCTAGGTAAGGGTATAGTAGAGGGAAGGTTTGGGAGAACAAACTATGATGGGGTAGGAGAGAAAATCTTCTAAAAAATAAGAATAACTGTAGGAAAAAAAAATACCAAGATAGAAATAAAATGTGGAGTTGCAATTATACATTTAAAAAATAGATACAGATTTCAATCATTTTATTTGTTAGTAAGGTAGGGGAAAATACAAGAAATGACTTAGGTTTATGGCAAGGATTTCTCCCTGAAAGGGAAGTTTCACTAACTAAAACAAATTAAATCATGACAAATATTGGAACACTAGAATAGAGAACATATGGGCTAGTTCTCTGAAGGAAATACCCTATAATTGGGAAATGAAAAGAAATAAGGTTTAATATCTTAAATACAAAGAACAAATGTGGAAGGAATGTAATGAACTAGAAAAAACAACGATAAAAGTTGCACGTAGGAAAAAATAGGCCAGGAGCGGTGGCTCACACCTGTAATCCCAGTACTTTGTAGGGCTGAGCCGGGAGGATCACTTGAGCCCAGGAGTTTGAGACTAGCCTGGGCAACATAGCAACATAGGGAGACCCCATCTCTACAAATAATTTAAACATTGGCTGGCCATAGTGGTGTGTCCCAGCTACTGAGGAGGCTGAGGCAGGAGAACTGACTGAACCCAAGAGGTTGAGGCTGCAGTAAGCCATGATCACAGCACTGCACTCCAACCTGGGTGATGGAGCAAGACCTGGTCTCAAAAAAAAAAAAAAAATGAAAACTTAACTGAAGTTGTGTTTATTTGATACCATGTATGAGAACAGCTATGTGAAAAGTTAAAAATCTACTTGGTCACTTAGCTTATGGCAAGTATCCACAGTAGCATCCTACAAAAAACTTTTTCATATTTGATTGTGTATAGCAAAGATTAAGAGAAATAAATAAAACAGATACATTACATTAAAAGCTTTATTTATGTTAATACATTATGGGAAACTTTTGCTCTTTACTCTTCCTACAAATGTGATTCCAACAAACTCTAGTAGGTGAATCGATGGATGCAATGCTTAATAAAACCTTGTTGTGTCCTCAAATTGTTAATAGCCTACAAAAGGAAATCAGACATATATATAATAACCCATTTTTAAAAGTAAACTAAAAGTTTACAAGGTTACTTTGATCAAAGTCCAGGCCCCTGCATATGGTTGTACAAGATGTGAATTCAACACTGTTTTAGATACTGGCATGGATGGCATCTTAGAATTGGGCACACCCAAATACAACTGCCTGTTTTTGAAAGGAGAGAGAAATCACTAACAATAGGAGAAAGACTTCACTTTGTAAGTGATGGAGGTGGCATCTGTACTGAGCACATGGCATAAACTAAGTCAGGAAGGTCCCAAAGTATAAACTATGTTCGAGGGTTAGTTTGGACAGTTGGACTCCAGTGGAAGTCACAATCGCGCCATTGCACTCCAGCCTGGGTAACAAGAGCGAAAGTCCGTCTCAAAAAAAAAAAAAAAAAAAAAAAAAAAAAAGTTAAAATGCTGAGAAGAATGGGTGAACATCAGTTTGAAAAAGGATTTGAAATCCACGAACAGAGCTTACATGCCTTGTGTCACATAAGGAGCTATTGGGAGAAAATGGTGTAGGAAAGATGTGGGTGACAATCTTAGCAGAGGTGTGGAAAAACTAACTGGGTGTCAGTATGGCCAGAGATATACAGGAGTGGTTAGCTAGAGAAAGGAAGTCCACTTACAAGGCCAGTCTTCAAATAAGATGTGAGAGAAATGACAACTGAGTTATCATCAGGGCCAGGAAATAAGAAAGCATAGACCATTTGAAGGCATTGCAATAAAAGAATCAACAAATCCTGGTTACTAATGGGGCATGAGGCTTGGCATCACAGGCAGAACTCAAGAACGATTTGGAGACGATGGGACTTACCACAGTGCAGTGGCATTAACGGGAAATGGGAAATCAGGACAAGTAGTTGTGGTAAATATTATTGAAACTGATCAGTGGCCAAATATGTTAGACTGGAACCTTAGATAACGGTCAGGCCTGGAAAGAATAGATTTGCCATTTGACAGTCATCTGCAAAGAATCTTATTTTGAGACCTTGAAAGAAAAATTGCTTAGTCACAGAAAAAGCTCAGTGTGGTTGATAGTAAATAGCATGGGTTTGATTATGGAGAGGTTCACTAAAGAAACACAAACAAAATTTCCTGTATATCTGAGCTAAGGGAGAAGAAAACAAATCTTAGAATTGAAATAAAGGACAGACTCAAGTCAAGCTTGGAAATTTAGGCCCCAAGTCTTGGGAATGGTTGGTTACCAAATAAATAGCAAGATGTGTGATTCTCTACCAGATATTTCCTAAGACTTTCCAAAGCTTTAGGAGTTTTGTTTCTGTAGACACATTGTAAAGCAGATGATTAGAAGGGATTTGGCCTGGGTTCAAGCCTTGACTCTTTGACGTAGAATACTAGATGAGTTTCTGTCATTTCATGTCTTGTAAACTCTGGTTTTTCATATGTAATGAGAGTCAATGATATTTACTCTTCTTATTTCATGTGGGTTCTTTCAAGAATCCTGGGTATCATTATAAAAATTGTAGTTTTGTTCTATGGGAAAACAGGTGTCAGTCTTTAAGTTTATTTTCTTTGCCAAGTGACCCAGGGATGGAAGACAGAATCAAAAATAGATTTTCAATCTTGCTTCTCTACATTTAATTTTTTCTCTCTCTCTCTCTAATTTCCCTCTCTCTCTCTCTCTCTCTCTCTCTCCCCCCCCTCCCCCTCTCTCCCTCTTTTTCTCTCCCCTCTCTCGTTTTAAGACAGAGTCTTGGTCTGCAGCCCAGGCTGGAGTGCAGTGGTATGATCTCAACTCACTGCAACCTCCGCCTCCTGGGTTGAAGTGATCTTGTGCCTCAGCCTCCCAAGTAACTGGGATTACAGGTGTGCACCACCGTGCCCAACTAATTTTTGGATTTTTAGTAGAGACAGGGTTTCACCACGTTGGCCAAGCTGGTCTCGAACTCCTGACCTCAGGTGATTCACCTATCTCAGCCTTGTAAAGTGCTGGGATTACAGGTGTGAACCACCACGCCCATCCTACATTTAATTCTCTACATTAAGCTTTATGTCTCAAGTTATTCATACCGCTAAAAAATATATTATTTTGCTTTTTGTGATTCCCTTTTGCTTTCTAACCATGCTTTTAAAATATCTTCTATATATTTTGGATTTTTGAAGTTTTAATATCTCTTAATTTTTGTTATAGATTTAATTCCAATTTCCTAAATACAGGTTGTCTAGCTTCTAGAGTTCTCTGGTAAATTGTTGTATAAGACACTTTTTAATATATGACATTTAGAGAGACTGGAAAAATATTGCAGTTTTTATTACTCACACTATGGAATTTTATGGCTACTCTGTGTAGTGATCTCAATACTTTAAAAACAGTGATTTGTGATGCTGGGTTGATAAACATGGACAAAAGTCATAAAAGAGATTGAGCAGAGAAGAGAAATGCAAACATGTTTGTTTAGAGACTGTGATTGAAGGTGGGATGATGATACTATCTATCTATCTATATATATATTTTAATATGTATATTTTATTGCATTTTAGGTTTTGGGGTACATGTGAAGAACATGCAGGATTGTTGCATAGGTACATACATGGCAATGTGGTTTGCTGCCCTCCTCCCCCTCACCTATATCTGGCATTTCTCCCCATGTTATCCCTCCCCAACTATATTTTTTAAAAGTAGAAAAGGAAGTACAAATACTTAACTGGAAAGCTGAAACATCTGAAAGCTTAGTAGTTTAACAGAAGTACTAAAGAACTAAAACAAAATATGGCTTTCATGCTTCAACAAGTACAACAGGCTGTGCTGAGGCCAAGTGAACCTTCCCCAGAGGCTTTGTTGGCATGTAGTGCCAGGATTTCAGTCTTTCTTTTTTTGGCTAGTAGTATTTCTGCTGCTATTTCCTCAGCTGGTAGAAATGATTGCTAGAACCTAACTAGGCAGTCAAGATTCTAGAGCAGCTCAGTGTCCATGTGAGGCTACTACTTGTTGGTGGCCATTGGCCAGCTTCTCCACCCGTCCTATGGATCTCTTTCATGCTACTCTATGTATCTCCACTTCTCTAGTCTCCACTCTCCAGACACTTCCTTGTTCATCAATCCTTCTCCCTTCATGCCCGTCTACTACATTTTATAGCCTTGCTAGATAAACTCAAAGCTAACTATTTTGATAATTATCTTATCACAAATTGAGATCATTGGTAGAATGTCAGAAGGTATGAAAGTCAAAGGGTGAAATATTTATTGAGTGTCTATTAAGTGCCAGGCATTGTTATAAGAGTGGAGGTACAGCAGTAAAAGAGATAGAGAAGCTCCCTGCCCTCATGGAGCTTACATTTTAATGGGAGAACATAGATAACAATACATAAGATTGTTTCAGATAATGTGTTATCAAGGAGATCATAGAAAATGACTGATCACTGCATGTAAGAAAACATTTATCAAGTTCTTTTATGCTATGTAAGTGAAGCATACATTGTAAATCTGTTACTCTTTCTGTGATCATATACAATTTCAGCTACTGAGATTTTGAAAAAAGGCAGAAGGCAGATATACCATAATCTCTCTTCTTTTCCTTTCTAGGCTGGTAACAGTTCATGTTTGCTTCATAAATGAAGCAGCTTTAAACAAATTCATATTCTGTCTGGAGTGACAGACCACATCTTTATCCGTTCTTGCTACCCATGACTTTATATGGATGATTCAGAAATTGGAACAGAATGTTTTACTGTGAAACTGGCACTGAATTAATCATCTATAAAGAAGAACTTGCATGGAGCAGGACTCTATTTTAAGGACCTGCAGGACTTGGGTCTCATTTAGAACTTGCAGCTGATGTTGGAAGAAAAGCACGTGTCTCAGACTGCATGCACCATTTGCATGGCTCCAGAAATGTCTAAATGCTGAAAAAACACCTAGCTTTATTCTTCAGCTACAAACTGCAGCCTGTAGTTATCCTGGTCTCTGCAAGTAGATTTCAGCCTGGATAGTAGCAGTAACAATTTTTCTCAAAGGGATCTGGGAAAAAAAGTGTAAAACTCAGTAACATCAGCCACTGTACAGTGTAGAAAGCAGTGGGAGCTGTGATTGGAGTTGGCAACATGTCAGTTTATAGTTGCTGATTAGTTATATGGGTCTGATTTTGATCTCTTCTTGATGTAAACCATGCTCACCCATATCCCACCAAACACATGTAAACAGTTGCCTGGTTCCATCCATGCAGGGAGCCAGTACTGAATTATGCATTGGCAGAGGGGAGACTCTCCAAAAGAGTCATTGCAGGAAGAAGTTAAGAACACTGAACAGCAGAACAATCTGCTGAGGAGGACACTGGCACCCCTGGAAAGGTCTGCCTTTTCCCTTGACCACTATAGAGTGTATAAATTGTGTTTGCAAAATATGTTATGACATGTTTATATTCTACAACTATTACAGAGCTATGTAAAGGGACTTAGGAGAAAATGCTGAATGTAAGATGGTCCCATTTTCAATTTCCACCCTGGGAGAGAATAAAAATAAATTATGATATTTAGTATCTAAGGTTAGAAAACCACGCCCACGTGTTAATATGGGTGTTGAAAACTAGGTTACTTGGAATGCAAGGAATCAGGAAACTTTAGTTATTTATAGCATAATCACCATTATCTGTTTTAAGGATCCATTTATTTAAAATCAGGCACTCTATATTCATTAAGGTTTATGAATTAAAAATTAAAAGAAAGCTTTATGTAGTTATGCATGTCAGTGTGCTATTTAAAATGTGTGACAGTGTTTGTCATATTAAGAGTGAATTTGGCAGGAATTCCCAAGATGGACATTGTGCTTTTAAACTAGAACTTGTAAGACATTATGTGACTATCCCTTGCCAATTTTTTTATAGTCAAGAAAACATCTGACTAAAGTCAAACAATGATTTCTTATGGTTTACTTTGATGAAGGTCCTTTTAGCATGTCTTGAACGTACACATAAAGGAATCCAAAGCTTTCCATTCTAACTTAACCTTTGTGATAACATTATTGCCATGTTCTACAACCATAAGATGACAGTTCTACAACCATAAGATGACAGTTTTCAATGTAGTGATACAAAAGGGCATGAAAAACTAATTGCTAGCTTTCCTTTCGTTTCAAAAATCCAAGAATTTCTAATATATTTGGATTTTAGCTTATGTTCAAAGCTAATCCAGATACAACTCCAGTAAGTGGCCTTTGCTCTTTTCTGTACCAAAGAGCCCAGATGATTCCTACAGTCCCTTTCTTCTCTAACATGCTGTGGTTCCTTAAATACGGATAATTTCTCTAAGATATAACCCAGGTGCTTTGAGAAACTTTGTTACGGTGTTCAGGCCCTCAGATATCCCATGGTACACTTGATTAGTAATAAAACCAAACATCAATTTAATTGCTGATAGGTCATGTCTCAGTGTGTGGCATTGAACTGTTTTCAGGAAAACAGATATACATTAATATGAGTTATGTGTATAGGTTGTGTGTAGATTGAGAATAGTAGATACTTCTCAATCTAGTAGTTTGATTTATTTAACCAATGGTTTCAGTTTGCTTGAGCATATGAAAATGCTGCTTAATGTGCTTGAGAGTATAATAAATGTACCTTTGTCCTCAAACCTAGTAGCTGGGTTTTAACACTCAAGGACATGGTCTTAATCAATAGAGTTAAATAAATTCAGCAAATTATTAAATCTGACACGGTAGGAGAGGGGAGATGTGTTCTGCCTATTAAACGTATTGGTCCATTGAAAGTTACATGGATTGCCAATTTTTAAAACACTAAAGTTTAATAAAATGCATGAACAATAGAAAAATGATGAACATTATTTTGGATGCTAGCTGCTTGGACATTAACTGTGTCATTTCTGCTTTGAGATAAAATATATATTTATCTTTGCTTATTTTATCCCAGATGTGTTCTGAATATCCTTCTTCATAAATCATGGAAAACTCACCGCTGAGATAGTAAACCATGAAATCGCCTTTTCAGTTGGTGCCATGTTTCTAATAGTTCCATCTTATAATGTTTCAAAATTACCTTTTAAAATGATCTTAGAAGCCTGTAGATTCTTAACGATACTGAAAGCTTTGCACCTCCTTGGTAGAAACCAAGTCTATTTAAAAAATGGCTTTATGATAAATGGTGCCTGCCCAGTGATAATGAAGTGTTCCTGGATTTTGTATTGTAATTTAATGTGCTTACCACACTGCCACATTTTAATGAGTCAGAGACAAATTGATTTTTTTCAATACAATAATAGTACAAGTAGCCTATTCTCTTAAAAAGTATGTGAAAAATTGAAAATTAGGAAAAATTATGCAAACTTAATGAAGTATTTGCTTTTAGTAAGAATGAAATACATTTCATTGAGCTTTTAAGTACTTTGGAGAAACTTTGGGCCACATTTTGCTCCTCTAATTCAACTGAAGTTATAAATAAAGAGAAAAATTCATTCAGAAATCATGGATATTTAAAAATGTTTTACTGCAGCCAAGTTTTTGCTTCAAAATGTAATTCCAGTTTGGGGCTTTTAGGCATTCTGTATATTTTAAAACTATATTCTTCAAAAAGGCATTTTGGCGTGGTGGGATGGATGTTGCAAAAGATCCTCCAGAGCTTCCACTCTGTCATTAACTGATGTGGTAACTCGCCTCTCCTCTTTGAATCTCAATTTTTTATTTATCTATATGATAAACTCAGAAACCACGCCTTACGGTGAGTCCTATTGCAATATGACTGACAAGATAAAATAGAATTGAAACTAACCCATACAAAATATCCTAACTCTGGACTCTGTGAATAAGTATCTTGACCACAAAAAGTCATTGCTGTTCTTGTTTCTAGTGTAAATAGTGTCCATTAGTAAGGTGAAATTCAGTATCAAGTAGGGTTAATTGGATCACCATTTACACGAGATGGCTTTTTCCTTTGCTTAAATCAACATTTTGGATCACCTCCCAAGAATGAAAACCAGTAGTACATTTTAGTCATATTAGTCAGGATGAGAAACTATAAGATGTATGTAGCATTTGGAAGTACACCAAAGTGAGCATTTAAATCTTCTCATTTTATTGAAAACTAACAGCAGAAAATGTAAAATGCTCATGAATTTTTTTAATGCCGAAAGGTATTTTGGAACCAATTTATAAAGGGGTAATTCATTAATTACACTTTAAAATTTGAAAGTGGGATAAGAATTCTAAAGTAAGCCAGCTTATCTTTGAAACAGTATTATTTTGAAATTGGCTTTAAAATAAAACCATTCAGATTGCAACTCTAATTAGTTCATTTGTGGAATTTGATCACACAGTTCATAGTGTTGCTGCTTTCCATTAACTAGTCTTGAAATGTTTTTGTTTGTAAAAATAAACTAATGGTACTTTCATTTCACAACAAGGTTGTATTTTTTTTAAGAAATAATTCATGCTAAAATGGATATTTGTGATCCTGAAATGTTTGCTAAGCATTGTAAATTTATTTATAACTGCCATCTCTAACTACATCCTTATGAGGTTTTTAACAATAAAATTAAGATAATAATTGTTTAAACTAAAAACCACACCATTTTCCAATACTTGATTTCTGAGCTGCAAGACTCACTAAATATAATTTTCCAATCAAAATACTCTATTGTCCTATGTGCTAAGGATTAATATGTGATTATGGTGTCCACTTGCCACCAATTTTTTAAAACAATGGACTTGAAAAGTATTAATTTAGATGGATGCACAGATATATCCTTAGTTCAGCCATAGATTGGAGTTTGCATATAATAATGTAAATGTATGTCAACACTATTCTAAATAGTTTTATTATGACTGAAATTTAATTAAATAAAAAAGGTTGTAAAATGTGATGTGTATGTGTATATACTGTATGTGTACTTTTTAAAATAGGTGTATGTCCCAACCCTTTTTTATACAGGTTTGAATTTGAAATTACATTATATATACATATACTTTATTGTTCTAAATAAAGAATTTTATGCACTCTCGTAAATTTGTCCTGTCGTTTTCTGTCTTAAGGTTATCAAATGTGTACAACATGATTGAGCATTTATTAAGCTACAGTCAAAATTTTCTATGGAAACTTTGATTTTGTTGAAATATGGACACAAGGGGATAAGAAATCATTTAAATTCAATAAATATTTATTGATCACTAAAGTCATCAAGGAAAAGAAAGATGAATTAACAGGACATTTGCTTTCAAGAGGTTTATAACTTGGTTGGGGAATAGATATGCAATAGGTATACAGAAAAGCACTATAATCGCTATAGATATAGGAAAGCACTGTAATATGTATAGTCCCTGAAGTAACTACCTACATGCAAAACAAAGGTCCAGTTAAAGTGCTTAACGCAGGCAGGAAGGAGAAATGGATAAGGAATAAGGAGGACCGTCAAGGAGTTGATATTTGGGCTAATATTTAGAAGGATGAGACAAATTTTTATATTGGGAATTATGCCTAGTCAAAGCAGCATTTTCCATCAGAAGAAGTTATAAAATTTCTAAGCTTATTTTACCAAATCAAACAGATGTGTCCTTAGCATACACCATATAAAAAGACATACAGAGAGATAAGACCAGATCCTTCTACATAGCAACAGGGAGTTCAGACACTATACTTAGGGTCCCTGAGAAGCCGACACCATTGCTTGTTTCTGAGAATGACAACATCAAAACTCACTATCGCGTCTGTGATTTAGGGAATAATCATCCTGCTTAACCACTGGTTGCTATTTGACTGTTGACCACATCCCCTTTGCTATATGACACCACACTTATTCACCCACCATTTCTTTTCAGAATTTGCTGATTCTCCCTTCTCTGTTCACCCTTTATATTGCCAGCTTCAACCAGTATATGTCTAGATGATTAGAATAGTCTCCTAACTGATCACATTATTCTACTTTCACCGTTTTTTAACCAGTTCATCACATTATAGTGAATAATATGGAGACATCTGGTTGGTTGGTTGGTTGGTTGGTTGGTTGGTTGGTTGGTTTCTGGCTAAAACACTTTGACAGCTTCTCATTATTTTTGAGATAAAACCCAAACTCTTCAACATGACCTATACACCTCTACTTGAGCCATCTCATCATTTTTTTGGGGGGCAGGGGGATTGCTCATTGTTTTTGCCTTTAAGCCATGAACAGCATGAAGGTTGGGCACATAAATACTAATAAAACTGCATTCCTCAAATTTCATGCAAATGATAATTAGTGGAATTCAAACAAAATGTGATCTAAATAGCTATCACCTATCACACTGAGAAGTTATTTTTTAAGACTTTTTATTATGAACAATTTGAAATATATGCAAAAGTAGACAAGATAGTGTAACAAACTCATATAACCATAACCTGCTTCGACTTTACTCAACTACTGAATAATCTTATTTTATCTAAACTCCCTATCTATATGCTTTATCCACTTTCCATTTCATATCATTTTCAGGAAAGTACTTAAATGTATGTGATCTGCAAATACTTCTGTGTGTATCTCTAATTGTTAACTTTTAGAAAGCTTAACCTTGATACCCTTGGTATACCTAAGAAAAGTTACTGACAATTCCTTAATACCAAAGAGCCAACAAGTATTTATATATTAATTCTCTCACACTATACACTGGAGTATTGCACTAGAGTAGGGCATAAAATACAGTTAAAATTCCCCCTTAAACATGAAAGTTAGTTCTCCCAGAGGTAAACACTGCTAATTATTCCTCATTAACTTCTAGAATTTGTTCGCATGTACAAACTATATATACATGTATATGCAATACTAGTCTCTAACCTTATCTCTTTCATTTATTAGAAGAAATGTAGAACACTACATCAGCCTAGATAAATCTTTACCCACTGCAGCATAATAACCAGGAAATTGTAGCTAGGCATTATAATTGTAATATAATGTGTGCCCTTTGGAATTTCAGAACTCAGCAAAATCTAACACATTATCAGAACCTTTTTTAAATCACCTTACTCAGAATTAAAATGAAGGTCTCTTTCAAGGGCATAACAGCCTCACCAGCACTCTCAATTTTTGGCTGTCCTCCCCCTACAGCTGTTACTGGGTCTGGAGGTGAGTTCCCTGCTCCTCACTGAAGCTTCTCGGTTGTTTTCTCATCCTTAGACCCACCTGGCTTCTTGATGGGTTTAGCACCTGGATGGATCACCGTTACTGGATTCATTTTTATAATACTATTGTTTTAATTCTTGAGGATTTTAATATACTCATAAACAGGTCTTTAAACATTCTGAACTCTCAGGTTATTGAACTTCTGTTCTCTTAGGAAACTTGCCTTCAACAATATTGTAATCAGTCGGTCTCATGGTCTTCCTATACACCTTGCTGCTCTCATTAACTGCAACCCATTCGTATGTCAATTGCATTCAATCCATCTCTTAGCACAACTTCATATCTTTCCAGTTTACTCCCCCATATACCCCAATCCTAACAATCTTTTAACTCACTGGGCCTTCCAAGCTATTGATTTTACCATTTTATTACTACTGTCAACCTCAGATGCCCTCTCTTCCCTTCCTAGGCAGTTATGAAAATCTGTGGTGCAGCATTATCATTGCCCTCCTGCATACACATTCTTCACCCTTGGACCCTCTCACCTTCTAATATTTGTTTGGTAAACCACAGCCTGGCTGAAATCCAATTTTCTACTCACTTTTTATCTATATTTGTATGGCTAACATGGCTAGAGCACAATGCCCCTTCAGGTCTACTGGTCTTTCTGTAATTTTTTTTTCCCTTTAAGCAGGCACTCTATTTCCCTTGTCCATTTGCTTTTCTATTCTCAAAACAGACTATTTCATACCTTATTTTCTCTTCCAAAACACTCACCTTGTTCCGAGTCTCACTCTTAGCTTATTATCTTGACTGCTACAGCACCTTGAATATAGAAAAGAAAAAAAAAAGATAACTTTGATAACTTTCAAAGACTCCTAGTAGCTAGAGGCTGATTTTCTGAAGCTTACACTTCAGAAACTCTCACCTATCCAGGTTATTTATAAGTCCCAGGAGGGGGCCTAGGAATGTACTCACATCATCATATGTTTTTGTAAAATTTGCAGTGACTTCCAAATTGGCGTGGGAATGGCTTTCAGGGACACACCTACGGACAATGGCATCAGCTTACCAGGGCATCATGCCCCAAAGGTGCGTGGCCAATGGCTGTATCCTGATGTGAATATGTCCTATAGACCTGGCCCCAAAAGTATGTGTGTGATGGAGGAGAAACAGGTTTGAAATGAATGGAGCCAGCAGCTCATTGTGGAAAAT